GGGGTTGCCACAGCGAACTAAGTCGCACGAAGACTTGGCAGTTATTTTTATGCCGGATACTCTTCCTGACACAACCACAGACCACCGAGCTACCACAGCCCTCTGTGTGGAGCAGAGAGCTGCTATCTAGGACACCCGGAGGAGCAGATGGTGGGGGTTAAGGGTTTTGCTCAAGGGCCCAGAGTGGGACAAAAGAGGGTGGGGGCAGGTGTGGGTGCTTCACCTACCCTACCCACATTTTTGATGATGTTGGTACCGATCACAGGCCCACCTTCTCTAACCTCTGCGCCACCACTCCCCTAGATTAGAGTAGATCTAAATTTCGCTGGAATGATTGGGGTAAATGGCGGGAGGATAGTGCTAAACATTTTTTTAAATATTATAAACAAAAATGTGTCATGACCATGAAATGTGGGCAGCACGGTGGTGCAACTGGTAGAGCTGCTGCCTCTCAGCGAGCAGGTCCTTGGTTCAAACCCCGGGTCCAGGGGCCTTCTGGGTGGAGTTTGCATGTTCTCTCCGTGCATGCGTGGGTTTTCTCCGGGTGCTCCGGTTTCCTCCCACAGACCAAAAACATGCATGTTAGGCTGATTGGTAACTCTAAATTGTCCCTAGGTGTGAGTGAGAGAGTGAATGGTTGTTTGTCTCGTTTGTCTCTATGTGGCCCTGTGATGGACTTGCGACCCGTCCAGGGTGTACCCCACCCCTCGCACAGTGATTGCTGGACATGGGCACCGGCGACCCCCGTGACCCAAAAATGGAATAAGCGGGTAAAAGATAATGGATGGATGGATGGATCATGAAATGTCTGATTTCCCACCTCTAGGGAGAGGCTCACAAGCTCGTGAGTCAGTTTACCTGTGAGCAAGAAAGTGTCTCGGTGCTACTGGCCAGGATGACTCCCAGGAGATGCCTGACCCCGGGAACTGTACAGAGGAGGCATCACCTGCAGGTGCAGTGGCAAAAGATCACGACTCTGCCTGCCATCCTTCTCTGGGTTAGTATTGCAGAAAATGTCTTGTAGAAAAATTATATGGCAGTGAATAACATTGTAACCATCTCGGGGTTGTATTCAGAACATTTTGGACTTGCTATTGGTGGGGAGATTGTCATTAAATACATGAAATGATTTGAAAAAGGAGGAGCAGCGTCATACTTTATGGAAAATATTGCATATTTTGTGTTTTCCCCTTTGAAAAAACTTTTATACATCTTCACCTCAGAACTGTCAAGGCAGTAATGAGTAAGTAATAGGAGAAATGCTGTAATACAAAAGATAATAACTGAACAGGAAAATGATGGGTGGATGAGTAACGTCTATTAATGTTTATACTTTCTTTTCTCTTGGGTCACTGGATGATGCTGCACGAAGAATTCAAGAGTTGGAGAGACAAGTTTTGTCCCTAGAAATGGAAATCCAGCAGTTGACAATTAAGAAGTGCCCTCCTGTGTGTGTGTGTGTGTGTGTGTGTGTGTGTGTGTGTG